GGAGCCAACGAGGACGGTCGACCCAGCTAGGATAAACAGTGATAAATATGTGAACACATGTCCTTTTTTCAACCCAATCCCCTCAACCGAACACTCAAGGAGTGGCTCGATGCAACATATGAACGTGGGCCAGAAGGAATCATGTGGGATTGCATGGCATTATTGCACCGTGACAGGCCTGAACAACAGTGGAGTGAAAATTTTCGGATTTCTTCGGATGACGGTCCACCTCTAAGGGTTTAAGGATACACTTCTATCAAATAGGAAATTTTCCAGAGTAGGGCTATCGCGACTGGGTACCTTTGCAGAGGCACGCCGAGCGCCAACAAGTCAGGGACAGCGCACGAATCGGCGCGTGGCACGATGTAGGACGTACAGTGGTACATTTCATTTGACCTGAGGCGAAATACTGCAGTACGCGCGCGACTCGTCCGCATACTCTGCCTTCTGCCGCGCGACGGGTTTCCTACTGGGCGCCCTCACGGCTTTGGTGTGATTCCTCACATAAATGGTGTAGTGAAAAGATTCGCTGCTGCAAACTGCATGTTCGGCGGACACTAAAGACACCCATCCTTCAGGAATCGGCTAATTAAGTAGTAACATACATATATGGCCGCGGGGTCAAAAGGCTGCATGGCTATCTCGATTGGCTCGTGCATAACAACATTTTTACATTCCTTATTTTGAGCTCATTTAATTGCTGTTTAGTTCGCCAACTTCAGCAGGGATTAGTTCATAGGCGAAACTTCTCCATAGATTCACCATGGGTCGGTCTTCCAATCGGCAATGGACTTCTGCTAATCCAATTTAAATCACCAAGAATTACCTTAGTTGATCCTAATTATCGAGGACTACCTTATTTTCGTTACCCAGGAGTGAATAATCACGGGTATTGTGAGGGATTCAGCGCAGCAACGGCTACTGTGAGAAACTCTACCCATACAAGATCCACCCACTAAGAGATTTGAAGTAAACTATTTTCAGCGAGCTCGGCATTGAAAACCTAAACCTCGTTGCAATTACGAATTTGCCTAGGAACAGATCAGGCTCTACTGATCTTATTCAACTTTAGCCCTGTTCTAGGTAAAAACTGTTCTCCGTTCTGCGGGATGGGTACAAAATGAGAGACAACGCATGGAACATTGAGTAAAGAAATTTTACCATCAATGATGAATAGAACGATTTTAGCGAATATAATCGAGTAGTGCGAAATGTTCACTATAGGAGGAAGTGGTGTTGTGGCAGGAGGTGCCACTTCTCACGTCTATGATCCGGATTGCACCCAGGACCAACTCTCGCCCAAGCAGCAAGGCCTTTTATCTCTCCGGGAACAGCTTGTTGGTTCTACACCTGTCTGGAAGGATGGCAACACTGGTTCAACGCTGTCTGCCTCCCACCCCCTCCCCTTCCTCGCCTCCAAAGCCTGTGTAGGGCAAATCGCATGCATAAATCAAAACAATATGATAGTGCTATAATTCTGAGTGGAAGGTGAATGTGTGGCATCCCAAGAGAAGATCTGTCAACGCCGGATGCTTTCTATTGTTTTTTGTGCTTTCATTTCACTACTAATAGCTACCAAGGAGAAATAATGATTGAGATTTTGCTTTACGCTGTTCCCGGTCCTATTCTACATATTTGTTACCCGTCATGGCAGTCGTCATGCATAATCCCGATCAATACTAAAAAGGGGAAGATGTTTCCAAAGTAAATGAAATAGGAGAGCCTCTTTCAATATCGCTTCTTTCTAGGTTTACCTGAATTATTGATATGTTACACCCCCACCCTCTCTCATGCTGCTGAGGCGTTGCTACGCCTTATGAATGAAATTCATTCTGACAGCAGAATCTCGACTTTGATACTCAGACTTCTCTCTGATAACAACTCAGCAGAAATCCAATCAGATTTTACCCTTGCCCTCGAGCCATTTCTTTGAAATGTCGGCTGGATTTTTCTCAAAATTGGTTTATTATTGTAGATTTGACTACGTTTTGCCACCCGAGGTGACTTTAACCGGAGAAGACGTAAATCATGTATTTTTGTAGTAAAATCACCTGCGTTCGCGCATGGACTCGCGCCGGGGCACTTGGAAAATAAATCCAAAGAAAAAGTAAAACCCAGAAGATACTAACCATAACTAACCTGGAGTGGGCTGGCATGCTCCTGCAGTTAGCTGTGGGCCAGGCCTTTGAGGAGAACGATATCGTCGAAACGTCTGGCGACTGTTAAAGCCTCCACCTAAAAACCCCATTGACATAAGAAAAATGATTATGAGACCTACAACTGTTATTGTTAAATCCGCAAACACGGATTTTACCTTGGTTAGGAGCAAAAGCGCTAACCCGCGCTACGGGTGCCGGCGCCAACGAACGTGATGATGTGAGCGATGGGTGTTGTGCGGTGTTCTTGTCTCTTAGCGCCGCAACCCACAATCGGCCAAATTGATATGCTATTTGTGATCTACAGACCAATTGCGCCTGAGGGCAAATCTCGGCACAGTGGGCTTCCCGGGAGAGCGGGATAATCTGTAGAAAGGCCCCTGGTACTAGGCCTACAGAGGACGAACTCTGGACAGAAGAATTGCTGACGCGCTCCAAATTCCCCATACTCTTTTAAGGCTTAGTCCTAAAAGTAAGCGTCTCTGTAGCTCAGACGCATTGTTACGGGCTGGCCGCCGAGCCACATTGCGCCCAAGTCTTTAATCTGCTCAAGTGAAAAAAAAACTTCAAAGAAATTAGCCCAGATTTTGAAAGATACGCTGTAAGCGGTATAGGGCCAAACTCCTTACTGGAACTTTGAAGAGCTTTCGGTTCGAGAAACACACATGACCGGCTTGGTCACTACTGTTGAATAGTGGGCCAGCCACCCTTTTGACTTAATAGAGCTACATTTAGTTAGTATTTTTGCGCCACCTCCGTAGTCTGTGACTGTATTACAGTCCCTTTTGTAAAATGACCTTTTCCGGCCTCGTCAGATACCTCCACAATTTGCACATGCATAAATAACATTCCCTTGAGGTCAGCGATAGACGCGTTTCGTTTGAGCAAAAGTGACTTAGATTTTAATGGAATATGTACACTGGTGTGCAAAACTTAGGAACGAGACAGATGAAGTATCATAACCTTTTGATAGTCTTGTAGACCGTTTACCGGTTCCTGTTAAGTGCCTTCTTCAGTGGTCTGCGACAGCTCTTCGTATGTGGGGTTAGGTTCCATAGAGTCATCTTACGCGCCAGTAACACGTCGTTGGAAAAGCACGTCCGTCCCTAGATTTTGCACACCAGTGTATTTTCGTCCTGACTCAGACTACGTTCATACTTGACTGACTTACGATCGCCAGCTGCCTGCGCAAAAATAAGCGCCTGATGCTAGTTCATACACACATACTTCTGCGCCGCTTTTGCTTGTCGATGGTGATCGTAAAGTCAGACCAGGCTCATGCGAAAAAGGAGCTAAAGAGCGCGGCCTTCGTGGGATCAGTAATGCTAAGGAAGTGCCAAAAGTGTGACGGAAGCAGAAGTGCGCCTTCCACCAATGCCCGACCTACTACTTACATTCTTTTTCATCTACGAAGAAAGTGGTAGAACTACATACTGACCTAAAACGCCAACACTGGACAAATTAACATTTCGGGTAGACCTTTCGCTTTTCACATGCTATGCATCCACCTCTGCTGTCTGCTTTCAAAGAGGACTAGGCGAAGGTGGTTCAAAAACGAGTGGTGCGACTAACAAACTATACGGTCCAAAATTTGAAGCACTCAATTCCAATCAAGCTTTCTTCGCTCCGTGGTCAGTTTTTTGATCCTAGGCTTATCCGGTAGGATAAAACACTGAACTGCACGTGCGCTGATCCCTGAATACTGTATGGGCTAAACTTTCTTGGAAGTTCTGGAATTCTGAGAGGAAGTGAAATGCATGGCGTACTCTTAAAAGGCATTTAGCAACGCCAAATATTTTATCATTTGTCATCTGTAATAAATGGTCACCTTCATTTTACACCAAATACAATTACAACGATTAACGAGTATTCTACATTGGACATCAGTAAGTGAGCATAACATTTTGTAGATGGTTGGAAAGACTAATCGATTTCAGCAATACAGTTTTTTTGTCGAGAGGAGTAGTGTTTGAGAAGGCTTTAATCATGTGTCTGAGGTTTTTGAGTTCGATAGCTATTTGGCAGCTTTCCTCTATCCTGTCATCTCAAGTGGTAGCTTTGACGAATTCAAGTAATCGCAGCAGTGCCTTCAACATGCGATGCTCTGTTGACCTGAAGCAGTGCAATGAGGAACGATGCCTGTATTTCAGCATTTCCCTCTTCGCAAGAAGAACTTCCTCCTCTACTGTTCTTCAATTTATAGCCGTCTCGCATTTTCCTCGTCAGCAAAACATTCTAGCTCTTCTGGAACCCTTCGTGAAACTCCTCAGTACATCCAATTAATCGTGATTCTGATATTCGACATACTTGAAGTGTTCGCATTATACGTTTCAAGACGACCACAAGTCCAAGTCAATCCTGGGGAGTACTAAAGGCACATTTCGATTAAGTTAGACCACTGGACCAGTCCCCACCTTAGGCTGGATTTCAGACTCCCTCACAGCATGGAGAAAGGAACGACCGTGTAGGGCAAAAACAGGAATGCTCTTTTTCTCCATCGGTGAAAACTCGCTCCCTTTTGCTATGGCGGAATGTGCCTTTAAGCCTACTGCTATCGCGGAATGTGCCTTTAACTCTACAAAGACGTGTTGGCCCGTCCAGATACCTAACTGCTGCCCATTCAAGGTCGGTTCCTATACCGCATTATGATTTCCTCTTGGTCTCTAAACATAGAAGCTTCTGGGACAAAATTTCTTAATCAAGATTGCAAACCTGACGATACTTTGATGGTTGTCTTCCTGCAATTTCCATGCTATCGACTTTTAACGTTCGTATCTGAATTTAGTTGTTATCCTCGCTATTCCGTGGCCGCTTTCTAACAGATCCATTGTCGACTATTGAGCCATGCACTTTCAGATGGCACGAATAGCAAAGGAGAACATCTTGCTGCTTTTCACTGTGGCTGGTGTACTGGCAGGCATCCTCTTGGGTATCACGCTCAGAGATCCAGAAGCGAAATGGAGCAAGCGTCACTTGAGCTATTTGCGATTCCCTGGCGATGTATTCGTTCAGATGCTTAAAATGCTTATTCTACCACTAATTATGTCAAGCATTATGTGAGTTGTTATTCCACTTTGTAGTTAACGCGCTGATTCTGCAGTCAGCTACATGGCAAATTTGCTTTCCATTCACTTTGCACTTTCCATTTATTTCACTTTTTGTTTCTTCCTGATACAGTGACACCTGAGCGCTATGGAGCAGCTTTTTGAGCTTACAATTTAGTATTCGGGCTTAGGTGGGCAGGTCATGTGGCTAGACTCACCGAGGATTGCACCAGGAATGTAACTGACTAGTACCCAAGGGAAAAACAAAGCTCAGATGCAGATATCCCACCCGATTGATCGACCGTCTCGTAAAGTCATACGACCAACTGTAGCGCGGTAGCGCGGAAGAGCTCGAAGCAGTGCGGAATGGAAGATGTGCCACTTGCGTTTATGGTGTGCCCTGGTCGAATAGCGCTCAAGAAGTGAGTAAAATTTACCAGGCGTCTTGACTTAATCGGATTTCGCCATATTCGTCATTGCAGGGACCAGAAACATTATCAGGAACCTATTTTTTTCTCTTCTTATTCTTCTGTACTCTCTCTCCTCTCTCTCACCTCTTGCTCTACTAGCCCACTTTTCCAGCTTTTTTGCTCTCAAACTTCCTCTGCCTTTTCCTCATTCTGCAGTAATTGCTGCAGTCATACTTCGCAAACACAGATTATGAGTGGTGGATTTCTGATCCGTTTCTTTGCAGAACTTCGGGTAGGTGGGCCATTACAAGTTGGAACAAAAGTAAAAAAAATCAAGTTTAGAAAAAGTCCAGTTTTCACAATTAATTCTGACCATTGCGTGTTTTTGGCGGCGAAATTTCAAGTGGAAAAGCAGGCCAAAGGAGGGAATCCTTGAGAGAAAAGGATTCCAAAGCGGGGCAGGCTCGATGAGATTAGCCACGGTGCCGTTGTTTCTCGGCCCCACAGGAACAAGAGCGCTCAGCGCTGTAGGTTGTTGCACATGGGAATCCACCAGCACTTGAATTTCCGCCCAAGAATTAATGTCATAGGTAAACTCCGCTTCCACTCATGTTCACGCTCTCTCGTCACCGACTCTTTTCCCTCTCTGCGAGTGCTCCCTATCTCTTATCTCGTCCTCTGCCTCTCGTAACCCAGCCTTCCCTCACCCCATTTAGCCCGAATAAAGCAACTTCAATTTGCGAAGATTTCAGAGTTTTCCTCCCTTTTCTTTACTACTGTCCATTTTGCACCTCTTCTTTCATGTCCAAGCGAAATTAATAGCTATACAAACCGGATCCTAAAGTGTGTTTATAAAATTGCGAGTTGAGCAGTACCTATAAAGAATACCGCTGAACTAACTGCTGAACACATGTCCAGCTATTCGTAGAATTACGAGTGAGCTGTATTTCTGTGAAGTATCTCAGAAGGGAAAATCCTTTTTAGTGCTCGTTAAGTCGTTTACATAGTACTGTTACAGTACGAGCTTGGCTTCCGTAGACCCGCACACAGCGGGTAAACTCGGGATGATATCTCTGATGTACTACTTCATAACAACGATGATGGCCGTGATATTGGGTAGGTTTGCGATTACTTTCCTTCATAAAATACTATCATTATGATATATAATATTTGTAATACTGGGTTGGAATATAATATCGGTTTTTTTTTCAAAATCCATTCAAGACAAGTATTCCGAAAAAAGCGCGTATACTATTTGAAAGCAATTTTCGTCCGCTCTACAATAAACTGTTTGAAAACTTCTTTAAATATCGCAATTATACGATATAGAGCTTAAGGTGTAGCGGCAAGTGGCACGCTTACCACGTGCGCGGTCCGGGGAGCGTACCCTGGGTTGTGCGTCGTCCAAGCCTATCAAGCCTTCTAACTCTCCAGAGTCTGGTAATTAGTACAAGATCTGTCTGAGAGGATTAAAACACTGATTGGTAAATCGGCTGAATCTCGCAAGTCATTGTAAAGGCTATGTCGCATTCAAATTGCACTACGATTCTGAATGGAAATGGAATGCGCGGCGCTCCCCAAACCGGGATTGATGGACACCGAATGTTTCATCCTTTATCCTTCGTGGTGCATAGAAGTTGAAAAGTGCAGGCGGCGCGGCATTTTGACAGCTGCTATTCTTTGAATTAAATGGAAAGAGCCAGCCAAAAGTGAAAGTTCACTAGAATCCATCGTTCTCATCGAATCTAACCCTAAACGACCCTACCCTTTTGCCTTATTTCAAGAAATATTCATGCCGTACAATTTGAGGACTTCAAAATCGATAAATTGACAAAAAGGACATCACTCATTAGATTTAGATTTTATTTTCTGCTTCAATCATTTGTCACGAATGCAGGTGGGCGCCGATGTTATCAGAGCACATAGCGAAGCGGCCTTCAATTGTCAAATTTTCACAAGGAGAAAATTAGAAATTATGAACATTACTCTCAAAGTAACTGAGTTATCATTTCGCAGCACTATAATTACAAAATTGACTTCAAAACGATTGCTCAGAAGAAAAGTCCAAAATTTACCGTAGGATACAGATCTAACTAACTCTGCCTTAGTTGTGGCGTTGAAACATTTCAGGCATCGTTCTAGTGGTGTTGATACAGCCAGGTAAATGGATGACCACAAATATAGAGGAAATTGTTGGTGAAGTCAATAAAGCCCCTTGTATTTCTACTGCAGTCGACACCATACTTGATCTCGTCAGGTGAGAGTAAGAAAGTACTGGAAGTGAATTGAATTTGTAGTAATTCCTTTACAGGAGCCTTTTTCCGGAAAATCTCATGGAGGCAACGTTTCGGTCTCATAAAGTGTGCATGAAATTTCTTAATGGATCTCAGCAAATGAATCCGGACATCGTTCTAAAAATGAGCACCGGTTAGTGTTGCATCATTTAAAAGTCAACGCTATGAATCAACCGAAATGAATGGGCATTGTATTATATTTAGTAACTGCAACGGTAGAATTACGATGATATCTTGGGAAAAAAGTGCTGATTTGTGATTTTAAGGCAGTGAGCAAGACGGTTGGAGGGCGTTGCGGTTTTAATGATGTCATCAAACGTATTGGCGTTGAGAGGCGGTTCAGCCATGCCCCAGCGAGCTGAGGGGTCTAGTTCACATTGAAGGTCATCTATAATCAATCAAACAACCAATTTTCCCTTCCTTCCGTTTTTATAACGGATGGCTCTCAGAGCTTGATTGATCATAGGGGAAGTAGAATATGGATTTTCCCTCTAAAGTTTCTCTAAGGAATATTTCACGATAAATTTGAGGTCGCAAAGGGGAAGTACCTACTAGATAGGCAGACAGGTCACCTAAGTGTGCGAGGCGAGGCACCCTTTCCAGCAATGGAGACGCCCCTAGCGGCTTAGCAGGGCTCTAACGACGGCCCTCGCGGCTCTGCACGCCTACCGACTGGCTATCTCCTCGCCGTCGGACGCTAGCCGCGGGCTCTAGGCGCCAAGCACGGAGACAGAGCAGAGCGTTCACCTTGATGACATCAACACTTGCCCCAGCGCGGAAATCAGTGGGGAGAAGAGAGAAACGAGTTTGCGAGTTTCGAGCCGAGCCGTTTTCCTTGATTTTCCCCTTGTTTTTGCATCATCCTAGCTCACCATCTCTAGCTTCATTTCCACTTTATCACTCTATCGTAAAATTCGCCTTGAGGCCGACGTCATACTTTGCGATTCGATTAGCGAATCGAGCGAATCGCTAATCGAATCGCAAAGTATGACGTCGGCCTGAAACGGAGAGTGAAAAAATGTTTTCAGAGGAGCGGGCAGCTTTTACTGAACTTCCGGAGCGAGTGACTTCAGATGGAATGAACATTCTTGGATTAGTAATGTTCAGCGTGGCACTAGGAATCACCATCGGATGGATCGGTGAAGAAGGCAATGCGTTGAAGGCGTTCTTCAAGAGTCTTGAAACAGTCAGCATGAAGCTGATCTCACTTGTCATCTGGTATGGATTTTCTCTTTTTCTCTTTTCTTTTGCTGTCCTGACGCGATATCTGCTCTCTCCGCGCCATCCCACTAGCTCCCGTTGTCACAAGCTTATGGTTAACCTAGCGCGGCTAGTACGACCCTCTACATCATCACACCTAGAGTTGTTCACCTACAAAAACGACCTTCACTTTCCATCCCGAAATTTCCTCCAGCACTGTCAAACGGGGTGGGGGGGGGGTTGAGGGGTACATACCTATGTATGTATTATATAAGTTAATTTTGAAACGGCAAATCCCGTAGTTTTCCCCATCCCATACACTTTTCCTGAAACTTCTAATAAATCTCAAAACCACCAAAAAAACGATCTCGTGTCTTGTACTTTGGGCCCCGCTCAAACTTTCCGAAAGGCGGTTATCATTGCTTGACCCCAAGTACAACTTTTCTCGCCGAATCAAAAGTACGATCCTCCTACGCAGATATAGATTATGGACCCTGCTCCGGAAGTTCCGCTTCTATGACTGAACCATCGAAAACGGTAAAAACTAACCAAGACTGCAACTGATTAGCCTTGTTTTCATCACAAAACTTAAATTTCTAGCATAAATATGCCCTGAAGTAAACAAAGTCGTCTTTCCATTTCCTTCACTTTTACCCAGCAGCATTCTTACTGCTTGCCACATAATAAGATTTGTAGTTGATTGAGATAAGAGGCGCTGGGAAACGTTGATATTATACCATCAATTATTCAAAAGAAAAATAAATACATAGGAATCAAATCATAGTGCAAGTCAGTACTCTTTCTTCCAGTTATTACTTCTAGGTATTCACCACTTGGCATAACATTTCTGATTGCCTCGCAAATTGTTGGAATGAAGGATCCCGGCAAGGAGCTGCAGAGGCTCATGGGTTACATGATTACTGTGCTTATTGGACTATTCATTCATGGCTTTGTCATGTTGCCAATTCTTATGATTACGGTAAATGACTTTACAACATTTCGAAAAAATCTATGGATAGAGTGGCATAGCGTCAAGAGGATTCGAATCCAATCTCCCACTTTTTAGCTCCTATACCACAACTACTACATTCACTACTTTACACCTCAGTCTACCGCTCGCTTATGAAGGGGGGGGGGGAGAGAGAGGTAACATGGAAGAAGTCGGGAGAAGAAGAGAGGGGTTGTACAGACGTGGAAAACGAAGCTGGAAAAAACAGTTAATTCACTAATATGTTGCTAAGCTATGCCAAACGCTACCTGTCGCCCTGATTGTTTCCGGCATAGGTTCCTGTTTGAGGCAGACTATTGAAGGCCATCACTTGAACTTACCGCTACAACGTCGCACAGCTCACATTAGGAATTACGACTGACTCGAATTCAATTCATTGTGGTTGTTTTCAGTTAGCCAGACGAAATCCGATTAAATACGTTTACGGGATGGCGCAAGCTCTTCTAACTGCACTTGCAACGAGCTCCAGGTGACGGATAAACCTTTGATTCTATTTAATTTCAACGCTCTAATCCGTTTCGCTTTTGATAATGGTTTTTTTTTCGTCGTTAGTTAGCTGCTAAGAAAGCATAGGAAATAAAAAATGTAACAATAGTAAAAGCAGTAATGAATAAAAAGTAAAATAGTAATATATGGTGGTAGGTGCACTTTTCAAGTGAAACATAACAGCAAGGAGTAAGCAAAAGTTACCTTGCCTCAATTGCATATACATACAGTAGCGGTCAAAAGTGTTCGCCGAAACGGATTTTCGTGCATCGCCTTTTTTTCAGAAAAATTCTATGATAAAATATTCTCTTTTGAGTTTTCTGATTCCTCAACAGTTGAGGATATAAAAACGCAAGCGAACATAGTGCATCAGTCTTTGGAGGATGTTGCTGTAACGAGAGAAAGCAATGCACTAAAAATCGTATCGGCGAACACTTCTGACCGCTACTGTACAGTTCACTCTTTGTTAAAGATCATGGAGAAGAGGAAACGCACAGATGCCTTATCCAAGCGCTCTATGTTACCTACATATAAACGCATTTAAACGTGGACGCATTTAGGGGCTAGCTCATTGCTTACCGTCAATGAGGTGACATGGTCCGCAAATGGAGATCCTTTGCTTTTACAAAGCGCGCAAGAAGGGCTCACATAAGCTATACATACTTCCCTATACTTAGGATCGGGCCGTGTTTCCGCTTGAGCAATAGAAGGAAAATGAGTGGGACGGGTTGTAACCGCAGGCAAAAGCGAGCTAAACTCAACCTCAAATGGGAAGAGAAAATTACGCTTACTCCGCAAGTGTTTGCAAGAGGGAAAGGCAATCGGATGAAAGAGAGAATGGGTCACGAGCGAGAGCGAATTTAACTGAATCGTGGGTCCGAACCCGGATGTGAGTTGAACCCCGTGAGGAATCCAACGACTTGGCGCTTTTCCCTTGCCTGAAAATTGTCGATCCCACTCCCTTTTTAGGCAAGGGCTCCATCCCACTTGATTTAATCCTGAGTTCTCCTTCTCATTTAAGCGGTTGGTGACCGCTACCGTGGCCCGCCCATGATACCCCCAAATGTCTGGAGCGTCTGCGCTCTCACTCGTCTGCTATGCTCTCTCGTCTCACATCTAAATTTTTCTCATATAGACATCCACCTAAAATAGTATGTCCCTCTTCCCAGTACTCTCGGCGATTTATTTTCTTTTTTTCCTAAAAGTCCACGTCGCACTCTTACTTCTGTTACCATTAGTTACTTTTTATTTCTTTTTTACTATTTTGATTTTCGAGCGCAATAATCCACAAAACTGAACGGCCAATGTGCCTCTGAGTCTAAACAAAACGCATAGCGGAAACAAGAAGTTGAGAAAACAAGCCTGTCTGCTTTACATCTCATTACCTAATGTTTTACTGGATATTGCACACGGGATCGTTTTCGCGCTAAGGGAAATCCAACATAATCGATGATTTCTTTGCAGTTCCGCTACACTACCCCTTTCTATCAAATGTGTTGAGGAAAACAACGGTGTCGACTCTCGAGTAGCACGATTCGTCCTCCCACTTGGGGCAACTATGTAAGTATGTTGTGTATACTCTTTAGAATTCTCGTTTACTGTCTACTATTTTCTAAAAACCATGAGGTAGAGTCACAAAACAAAGTGTGGACGCGTTACGCTGTGCTAACGCGCATGAGCGTGTAAGGGAAAATCCTGGGCACCCTCCAGGAGGCCCGTCGCGTGGCAAAAAGGCAGAGTCGACGGACGAGTTCCATGCAGCGCGTGGTGTGCGATGTAGGACGTATATCGGGACCCTCTATTCAACTTGACGCGAAATCCCTATAGTACGCGCGCGACTCGTCTGCTGATTTTGCCTTCTTGCCGCGCGACGGGCCTCCTGGGGGGTACCCTAAAATCCTTCGTTCTTGTGTCCAGAAAGATGTCTGCGATCTGTCTTACTCTAGAATACTGTAGAATAAATGCTCGCGAAAACTCTAGAATTAATGCTTTTTGCACTCTATGGACATGCTCTCATTCACAAGAACGTACTTCTTTTTAGTTGTTTGCTGTATTAAATTCAATAATTCAGAAATATGGATGGTACTGCTCTATACGAAGCCGTCGCAGCCATCTACATTTCCCAATGTGTTGGCCTGGACCTATCATTGGGTCAAATCATTCTCGTCAGGTGAGCATACGAATATTTTGGCGCTACATTTTCCGCCCTTCTTTCAAAACTGAGAATTGGAACTATTTAAAGCTTCGAAAAAAAAATCCTCTCGAAATTTGTCCACGAGCGTGGATTACGCTAAATTCTCTTGAGGAAAATTTTATCCGAATATTTCGCATCCGTTTGGCGCAGAATTTTTTGGCGTTTGTACCGCTGGCGCCAAACTATATTGGACCACAAATGTTACAACCAACTTGCTGACATAAGCCTTTGGACACGGAAAGCATATAATTTCTTCTCGCACCCTGCCTGGGGTGCAGGGTTCAAGCGAATGTGGCAGCGATCCGTGGCGCAGACGCTAGAAGCTTATGAGCCAAGCGAATCTGGTATCTGGGGCTCAGTTCCAAGCACAGTAATTGGCGCACTCACTTGAATGTCCCCCCCCCTCACAAGGACATGAGCTTTCGAAGGAGGTTTCTTTCAATGTAACTTTCCCATGAAAAAATTCCTGCTCAAATCTACGCACGGACACGAATTTTGAGACATCTTCCAGAGGGAGTGTAAAAAAGATAATTATTACCAAGATTCTGATTATTTTGTCTTCTACTCGATCGCACTCGCAAAGATGAAAAATTTCTCCACTTTAGAAATTCCAAGGTGTGGGCACTTCTGGCCTCAGAATACTCAATTAGATACTGTGTTCTTTCGGTTTTTGCTTCAAAGCAGCTCATGCCCTGTGGAGGGGAGCGAGTGGGGGAGGGGGAGAAGGGGGGGACATCCAGTGAGTGCGCCAATTACTGTGCTTGGGGCTGAGCCCTAGGTAAGCGTGAATGGATCGGAGGAAAATTTGTGATATCCTTGGCCTTTTCCCCCTTTGCCAGGTCATTTGGTCAACCCAGGCAATTGAAATGAGATGTATATGTGTATACGCGCCTTGGGACACTGAGCTCAAATATGTCTTCCTCATCTGCTGAACTCTTCTCAGAAAGGAACTATGAAGCAGAAAAGCGCAGGGGCTGTGGTCGAGGCTCTCGAAAAAGAGGTCAGAGGATTGAGTCCCTCGCGAGTTTGTTCTTTTGCCGTTTGTAGTAAGATAGCTAGGAAGATTCTTAACATCGCTAGTCCAACATGCTCGCGTATAGTTTAAAGTACAAAGAATTAAAGCGCAATTGATAACGAACTTGGGCGGCATCGTTTCTCACTACTTTGGGAATTCTGAAATTTTGACCTAACCTCGAAAATTTGGACAGTCACTCACCGATTTACCAATCCATTACAAAAGGCTGGCACTTGAGTGGAATGAACCTTTTGAACGCTTCTCATAATAGGCAAAAATTGTGTCTGGCTTGCCCGTGTGCATCATCCAAGATCTGCAATGCATTATTTCCTGATGCAACACGTTCTCTCTCCTTTCCCCCGTCGTCCATGATTGGTCAACCCAAAAAAGTGGAGTTTGAGGAGCGGTAATCCCATCACTGCTCCGCTTTTTCTCGATTAGTTCATGACCTCAGGTTTCCAAGAAACCCGTGTTTAGGGGTAGCTTGATCCCCTGAATAGGAATATCGTACCTACTTTCCACGGAAAAGCATAGCACCTGCACTACGGGCGCCATGAGCAGGGTCAACCGTTACGTTGGACCGATATTGGAGCGACGTTGGACCGATGTTCACCGCTCTTCGGCCGGCATTCACTCTCGCCACCCGCGAGCCGTCTGTGTCTTCGTGCGTACGTTCACTCTCGGCATTACTCTCGTCGTCGCGTTGGACTTTGTCCAACGGACGGTTGACCCTGGCCATGGGCACTCACAGGCAAGTAGTGCTTTAACATAAGAGGATCTGCTTGCAAACTCTTCTGTAGATGTAGCGTCGGCCGACCGTTGATAAAAGAATGGATTCAAAAAGGCTTCTTAGCCATGTTGGAAAAAAAGCAAAACACCAAACCTAGGAAGGGGTTGAGCCCGCGACCCCTTACATGAGAAGGAAGACCGCTACCAATTGCGCTACCGGAACTCGCACAATCACTTCCTCAGTTCTCCTCTCGATACTTTCATAATGCAGTTAACATGTGATTGCAGGCAAGACACTGAAAATCAAGGACGGCAACAAAACCCTCTGTAACTCCTTTCAGAGAAGAGTTCAGCAGATAGTGAAAGCAGATTTGAGTTCAGCGTCTCATGTTGCGTACACAAATGTGCATCTCATTCCATTTGGCCGGGTTGGCCTAATGACCTTTACTGGTTAGTCCTAGTCTCACCTGCCGTCGGCCCTGTTTTGAATGTCCCGTTGAGGACATGAGTGCCCAAATTCCTTAGCTTCGAGAAGTAACTCAAAATAAGAGAAGCTAAGAGCATATCAGTCGACAAAAAGTACTGTAACAGACGATAAACCGAAGTTCATCCTTCAATTTCAGCTTGACCGCAACATTAGCCAGCATTGGAGCTGCTGGTATTCCACAGGCAGGTGTGTGACTACGAAAAATTGCGTCTAATTTCCAATTATCACTAATATTCTGTATACTTATTACCATTAACTATCCTGCATACATATAACTTTCTTTAAGGAATTGTAACAATGATCATGGTATTGATTGCAATTGGACTGCCGTCAAACCTGTTCATTTTGATATTCCCAGTTGACTTCTTTCTGGATAGAATTCGTACCACCGTAAACGTGCACGGGGACAGTATTGGTGCTGCTGTGGTTGGAAAGCTTTGCGAGAAGTACTTGAAGCAAGGTGAGGACAAGCGTTTCTCAACTTTTGATGGCAGCGCTATGAGTGACAAGAATCCTCTTTGATACCGCGGCATCTCGAAGCCCTTCTTGTCCGCTTCTGTTCGCGCATCCTCACTGCTGAATTCCCGCATTTGAAAAAAATAGTTTAGTGGCCCTAAGTTTCAGGGCAATTCATTGTTGGCGCTTTCAGCTTGAGCGCGTTATTGTATACGGTTGCCACGTCTGTACTGATTTTTTTACTTGGCTAGTGTACTTACCTAAAAATTATAAAATTTATTTTGACCTTCACAGAGACGGAGAAAAAATAACATAAATAACATTGAATTAAAAAATGAGATTATTTTAGCCTCATTTAGACAAGGAAACTTGCTCGCATAACGAGTAACCAGTGGAAGGAAGTCGCGTTGCGCTATTGGACTTCGTTAAGCAGGATCCGCCTCTTTTTCGGATACGGTAGCGCGAAATGTACTCTGCGTTGATGTGACGTCACGAGCCGCGGCAGGAGGTACTAAGGCTGCCGCTTAAGTGTAGAGGATAGAGGATGCATATGCAAGTGGTCTGTCGCCTCTCCACCGTCGATAAGGCGTCACCGTCCCGGTGGGCTTACTCCCTATCCTGCGCGCGCACTCCGCATTGTTCATGGCCTCGCCGCGCACGCGCGAGGCGAACGCTGCGCACGGAAGGTCTAACCCCTTCTTGGAAGAACAAAGAAAATCATAGCCCGGCATATGCTTTGATAGCTCCAGATAGTACTTGGAACGCTGATTTGCTCTCCGCTCGCTGATTGTAGTATCCGGAGTAACCGAATGGGTAATTGATTATCGACTAACCCCGCACAGCTCGTGACGGTCATATCAACGCAGTATCGTACAGTTTCATGCGCCTTACCGGGTATCCAAAAACGTGCGCGGCTTATCCCGCAGACAATAAATAGCCCCCCCCGCCCCGAAATAGAACCCCGTAGAAGCCAAGCGCCACATGCGGACATAAACTGAAATGGGCTACGAGTTGAGCTTTTCGTGGTTCGATTTTCTGATGTTAGATCAGAAACTACGATAGCAGAAATTAGAGAACCGCGAAGGCGATGTAGGGTGGCACTACAGGGTCGTCCCTATCGTTGTTACTTTTTCAACAATTTTTAAACGACCTCCCCTCCTCTCAGCGGTGACTTTTGATACGACCGCCTTTTCGACAAATTCCGATCCACCTCGACCACCATCTTCCTCTATCTATAAGTATTTAATCTGTACCGACTTTAACCCACGCCCCAACCCGCCCCTAACCTTTTTTCCTCGCAAAATTGGCCGCGAGCGGGGGGGGGGAGGAATACATATTCTCAACAGGTAAAAATTTCTCGAAATATTTTTCTATGCAATTCACTCTTATTTCCACCATTTCAATACTCACACTTTGCCGCCCATTCACCTGTCTTCCCAACTACTCTCATTTAATAGGGTATATACGAGGGCTGAGAACAGACCGAATTTTTCTCCATGAGCTTCTCAACTCACACCAGTTCTACTACTCGTGGAAACTCACTTGGCACCACAAACTCTACATTAATTTCATCGGCGAACTGACGCCGATACGTACCGCTCCCTCCCATGTAACTCAACCAGGTACTGACCCCCCCCGTTGTTACTATTATAGTACAACGTAGGGTTGACCCTCTGATGCTTTCGAGGAATTCCTCTGGCCGGAGAGGGTTGTATGTGGTCCGCTGAAAGGGGCGTTGTGAGTGCAAGGGTCACCAAAGAAGAGAGGAGCGGGAGCCTGATGCTGAGGCGATGGCATCCAACGGTTGAACATCTGTTGTTCAAACTCCACAAATCTTACAAACTCCTGCTAGGGGCCTCGACGTGACCCCAGTCACCACCGTCGGCCTTGGCGGGGAACTCATATGACCCTCCCTCCAATCCCCACCTTCATCAAGATGGTTGTTTTTATGGTGCTCGGTTTTGAGACCACTCGACACCAGGGTCAACCGTCCGTTGGACAAAGTCCAACGCATAGCTCTCTAGCGTGTGAGAGTAATGCCGAGAGTGAACGTACGCACGGAGACACAGACGGCTCTCGCAAGGCGAGTGTGAATGCCGGCGCGGAGAGTGGTCAACCTCGGTCCAACGTCGGTCCAATGTCGGTCCAACGTGACGGTTGACCCTGCTCGACACGCCTGTCCGCCCACATTTCTCTTCCGTATGGCTGTTGAGTATGGGGATGCGGATGAATATGTTTTAAAAAACGGAAAATGCTCTACTTTTGTTCATTTCATAAGTTTTCAAAGCTTACTGTCAGAATCGTCGGAGAACTCGGTGGGAAAACAAGCCTTCCCTTTCAACCATCTTCTGCGTACCAGGCACGGATTCCCACCTCCACGATACCACCTGTATAGATTTAACACGACCCATCCATTGTCCTCACCACCAAAATAAGAGTCATACCCTTGAAAACCATACAATATGTACAAGTGAAATTTTGTAGAACGCAATATACCTGGAGATTCCTTTGTAGTTGTTGCCTATTTTTTAGTCTACTCTCTCGCCTTGGCACCATACCATCTGAAAAAGGAG